GTAGATTGTAAAGATAGTTCTGGTTACCGATGGAGTAACTTATGTAATGCATGTGCGGTAAACGTTTTCAACAAGATTCTGGAAAATGGACTAGTGGTAACGATGATATGGACAGGTTTATTCAAGATGAGCAGTTACCAATAAAATTAGTCTTTAGACCTTCCAAGGGAAGTGGACTGGATAATACAGTGATACCTTATGGTAGTTTCTCTGATATTGAATTTATTGCAGAGGGGGATACAACCGTTACTTAGTTACGAAAAATACCTGATAATTCGAAGTAAAAGTAATAAAAAAAGTAACCAATCATCTATCGTCAAATAGGCAATATTTGTATCTTCGTTACAGGGTTAGTTATTAATATCAATGCTATTTATTGTACATATAACTTTCAACAAATTATACCTAACTCATTTACAGTAATACAAAACTACCCAGAGGGTACGAATTAGATATTTTCATTATGGTTCTTAATTAGGTCATGAATAAATCCAAGAAAATTCCCATCACGTACTAGACGGATGTTTTCACTGGCATGATTATGTTTAAATCTAGATTAACGTTAGTACGCTCTTTGTAATGAGATAAAAGCCATTTTTCAAGCTGTGTCCATTCGCTTAATTTGGATTCTTCATCTTCGTTGTCAATAAGAGCAACTATTGGACATACTTTATCAACGTCTATTACTTTACAGCCTATGCTAACTTGTACTCCTTGATATTTTTTATTGACCCATAATTCATCACCGTGAATAATGATTTTTTCAGCAACGGCATCCTGAATTTGACGAGAACCTCTTGAAATGTAACGTTTTTCGTCTGTTTTCTGAGTAGTTTCCTCAGTAAGTTCTAAAAAACTCGTACTAAATTAGATTACTGAAGGAAATCCACATGGAATTTAACTATGACTACTAAGGCTAGTTAGACCTACCTTGATTCAATCTTGTTTGCAAAGGAAAATCTCTTAACAAGGACAAATACCGTGAATCGGCAATAACATGAGTACAATCAGTGGGAGGCTGTTCTTCCCAAAATTCACTAATTGTTATCCCTCGAATCTTTTTTATGTTTTCCGTATCGTTACTCCTTAGATCAAGTTTTGAAAAAATCTCATCATCATCATTTTTGATTTTTACCTTCCAAAGATCCAAGTCTTTGGCCTCAATACCAGAAAAGATTTCATCATCTTTACTCTTAATTGCGTCATAAATTTTATCTTCAAGAGAAATAATAGAATCGGTGGTTACAACATTAATATCAAATTTCTCATTATTTTTTTTTGTCTCGATGGAGACGACAAGTCAGAGTAATGTCTACCATGATCCTGTAAAGGTTGCCCATAATTAATAAAGTTACGTATTTATAATTCGCTTTTCATATTGATCGTCCGGGTAATACTTTTCTCAAACTTGTTGATACGCACCAAGGTGTTTATCATCATGCGGTCAATGAAATTTGATTTGCCCCTGAAAGGCTGTTCTGATACGTAAAACATTTACAAAGCAAATCATTTAATAGATGATCATCGATTTGGATCGAAAGCCTGATCCCAGAAATTAGGAGTGTAT